ATAGGAGATAGGCTTGAAAGATTACTGAGTTGGAGCTCGAAGAATCCCTAGCCTCTTCTCCATGGTTTCTTGGATTACACATCCGCTTATAGTAAAAGAACTAGTTTATCTTCCCACTCTCCTTCCAGCTCTTTAATTTCTCCCTGAGAAATTGGCAGGCTTCACGAGAGGAAGCAGAGCTGATTTGTGACCAACTGACCTTGACTTGGATGTTATACTGGGAATATCCTTTTGTGGAATGCAAAGAGAAAGGACCCTTGGAAGGTTGATGGATATGGCATCTCTCTCTCTCTCTCTGAGTTGATGAAGAACAGGAGAAAGGTGATATAGGACTGAAAGGCAAGAAATTGAAAAGGCAGCTTTGAAAGTGATCGGAAAACCAGCGCTGCAAATGAAAATTTTAAATTTTTAACGAATCTTTCTATACTATGATCCTCCCATGAATGGTAATGTCACACAATCTTCAGTTTTTTTTTTTTCTATTTTTTTAACTTCGAATGAATTTAAGCGTTAATTTGCTCATATCTCAATATTAAAATTATGAAATTTATGATTTTCATGATTTTTATTTTGCAACATGTTTTAGATATATAGAACATTAAAAAGACAAACTTTTGACTATAAATTATTATTTAAGTTAAGAAAAAAGTTGGATTAGGATAAGGCAGAACAATTAGCCATCATTAATCAATTAACTATTACATTATATTAATCTCAAAATAAATTTAATAAATATTAAATTATATTTGATTACATTGGAATAAGAAGACTTACTTTTGTTCTTTAAATTATATATTATTATGCATTGTTGTGTATCAGATATTTGAAAAATATTTTTATATAAACGAGCTTCAATACAGAGGAAATGTATTATATATAAGTAAGCTTCAAATTCAAAATCTCTTAAGACTCGTTTGTGACAGCTTTCTTATTGCTTCTTAAAATAATTTTGTAGTACAAAATTTTAATTTTTTAACTAAAAAATCACTTTAAAAAGCAATTAAAAACCCATGTCAAATGAAATCATAGTTGATCGCAAAAACTTCCAACAGTTTAGTTTGAGACAACTTTTTTATTGCTTCTTAAAGCAGTTTTTTAGTAAGAAAACTTACTAAAAAAGCAGCTTTAAGATTCAATAAAAAAGTCATCCCAAATGAAATCTAAGATAGATTAATTATTCTGTGCGGACGCCGAACGCTGTCTGGAAATCAACAAGAATGTGTCATGTCACCCCTTCACTCGGTACCACATCTTAGTACTGCTCGGTATTGCACGATATCGCTGATATGGAGCATTATGATTAATCTTCAAATAATATTTTGCATCCTAAATCTGCACATAATCAAATGAAACCTAAGATGAGCTGCATTTGTATTGTATAAGTAGATATATAGATATAATTTTATATGCAACGATCCCATGAGAACTTATGTTCCTAAAATTGAAGAAGCGGCCAGGATGCTGCCACTTGGCAAGGTAAGGTTACCTCAGTCAGAAAATTATGGGTTTTTGTGCTCGGTTGTTTGACCAGATTAATTCTCTTTTGACTCCATCGTGGCCGCACATCTTGTCGTGGATAACAGCCAGAGCCAGGCGAAGAAATCTTCATTCTGCTATTAAGACAGATAAAGCTTTATAAACCTTACTGCTGAAATATTACTCAATTCCAGCATTCATAAAATTTAAAAAAATATATCATAATCTTAAATTCTAAAATAAGTAGTTAAATATTGATACGGCATCAAAAAATCATCTTGATCGGGCACGAATCTCGAGGCAAAAGTTAGTTGGAAATTTCAAAAATTAATTTCGGGAGCATATGAACTCCGATTTCAGCGAGCTTACAGTCAAACTGAGCGTCTCGGAAATACGAACCCAACGACACCAAGATTAACCCAATCCGAGCCCAAATGAGTCCGAATCAAGGATTCAAAGCACTGTTGGAAAGTTCAAACCGCAATTTGAGTTACCAAACGGTCTCGGATTTTAACGAGCTTATACTCGAATCGAACGGCTCGACGAGACGAATCCAACGAGCCAAGATCATCGAATTCCGACATCAATTAAGGCCTTCAAATGTCCAACGAACTGTACATGATCAAAGGATTCGATATTCGGCCGCTCCATTCAAACCACTCCTAATTCGCCCTTGATCTCACGCCTATTTACGGGCTATGCCACTCCAGGAAAATTATAAATAGAGCCCTCATTCTACACCAAAGGGACTCAAGTGGAGAGAGAAGGAAGAAGAAGAAGGAGAAGGAGAAAGGGGAATAGAGATTCCTCACCTTCCTCGACACCGCCGCCGGAGCTCTTCCTGTCGCTGAAGACGCCGGAACTCTGTCGGATTTTCAAAAAAAAACGCCAGGAATGTTCGCAAGAATTTTGTAAACTCCTTGGGAGAAACAAATTGTATTCGGATTATCTCAATTTGTGGGACGAATCCGTCATTTGTAATCTACAAAATCACTAGTGAAACTTTACAACTGGGCGAGGCCCCATTGTTTTTTCCCTTTTGGGGTTTTCCACGTAAAAACCTTGGTGTTCACTTTCTCTTTTCTGTTTGTGTGTGAAATACTCGTGCAACGCTAGGACGCAAATTTACAAACTCTACCGCCGCGTATATTCTCGCGCGCAACAAATATATTATTTAAAATTATTTAAAATATATAAAGCTAGCCAATATTAAAAAAAAAATTGAAGTATTTTTTAGCCTAATGTTCATAATTAAACTCTTCAAATAGATGAAAAACTTGGAAAAAATGTTGAGTCTAAATAGAAAATTTGCAATTTCAAGAAATTATATTCTTTTTTTTATTTGAGATGTGTGCATGATAAATAATTTTAGTTGTCAATTTGTCAATATATTTGGAACAAGATTTTGATAAAATTGAGCATCTAATTCAATAGGAAATGGAATTCAAAATTATGAAACTCACAAATTTTAAAGTACCTGCAAAAAAAAAAAACTTTGCCTTCCAATCCGAGAGAAGAGAAGCAATTTTGTTAGTAAGAAGATTGAAATCAAATATACAAAGCTTTTTGTGGGAGATGGGAAGTCCAAGGGAACATTGAGAGCATTAAATATCTCCACAATTAAAGGGGATTGTTGTGGACATATCATGATAGAGCTTTTAGCATTGTTGATTTTTAACTCATAATAGGAAGAGAATTCAACAAGAATTTCATTGAGAGAAGTGGCATTTTGCATGATGGCTTTATCAAAAATCAACAAGTCATCAGCAAAAAGCAAGTGAGTATAATTTCTGTTCTTGATATTTATCCTGTTAAGACAATGAGAGGTTGAGGCAAACTGTAATATAGAAGAAAGGACATTCATAGCAAAACAGAATAGAATATGGGAAACTGGACATCCCTGCTTAAGACACAAGCTAGAAGAGAAGAATCAATCAAACCCACCATTTAAGCATATAGAGAAATGAACTTTAGTGATGCAGACTTTAATCCAAGAAATGAAAATCAAAGAAATACCTTTTCTTTCAAGTCTATTTAAAACAAATTCCCTCGAGATGATGTCAAAAGCATTGAAGATGTTTAGCTTGACACATAAATATTTAGGAACAGCCCTGACTTTAAATTTCTTAAGCGTTTCATAATTCATAATAATATCATCAGTGGAGCTCCCATCCTAAATTAATCTAGATTGGGAAGGATAAATCAAGCTATTCAAATAAGCTATAGCCTATTTGAAATGATTTTAGCTACGATTTTTTAAGAAGAATTGCAAAGAAATATTGATCTAAAATCCATCACATTCTTAGCATGACGAAGTTTAGGAATTAAGACAATAGCAGTAGCTCTAGCCCTTGCAGAAAGACATTCTGATTGAAAGAAGAACTTTATAGCCTTGCAACAAAGGCCCCCAAATAAAATCCAAGCGTTCTTGAAAAATTCAAAGATGAACCCATCAGGTCCAAGAGCTCAGTTATTAGACCGATCAACTGAGAAGCCAAATGCGGCTGAAGTAATTAGCCCAGGTCTGTAGCTCAAATGCCAAAAGCAGAATTTACTGAATAAACCATAATTATAAATCATAATTATTACAGAATCTATTGAATAAATCATAATTATTACCCAAAAGCCATAATAGTCCTTATAATTTGTCTTCCAACAGATCTACTTTTGGCATCCGAAATTCAAAATATAAGATCTTTTATTATATCATGAACAGCAAAAGCCTTTATATCAAATCCCTTCAAATAGCCTACTTCTGTCAACATTCAAATAAAGAACAAAGAGTTGACATGATAGAAAGCTCATAGATTTTGTTCTTTAAATAGTCATCTTTTTTTCCTAAAAAAAAATAGCCATCCTTTGCCTCATAATTGCCACCCAAGTAGCCTGCAAACAATCATTGCACCATAGAAGTGTTCAAAAACACCAAAGTGATTCATATTTTACTCTTACCTTTCAAAGAAATTATTCTATAGGGACATCGGACTGGAGAACCATTCGACTACTCTTGGTACTGAGCACAGGATCGGATCAGTACCGAGCTCAATACTAAACACGATATATTTTTGAAGTGACCTGACATATTTTTATTAATCTCCATATCATCGGGACTCCGCACCTAATAATTTGCCAACCTTTAAAAAAAAATACATCTTTCAAGAATAAATGGCAAGGAAACATGGAAAACAGGGAGAAAGTAATCAAACTGGTCCCAAGAAACAGTAGTAGTATTCTGATATGGTGAGGGCCTTTACTCTGCAAAATTAATGCAGTACTGACACAATGCTAAGCTAGCAACAGCGCACTCAAAACCAAGCCAGCACTAATTGAAGAAAATATGAGAATTAAATTGTACATCCTACAAACCCACAGTTGTCCAAAAGTCTGACATTCTCTACGAACAACAAACCCATTAAACTAAATAAATGCCCACCCTCTTTCATCCACAGTTCTCAGTTAGTAATTTCCCATCTTCTTCCTGCAGGAATTCAACGTATAGAATAACAATGACACAATGTGATAGCTAATCATAAAGATACGAAAATTCCATTTTAAAAAAAGGTCACAATCAGGTAGTGCAATTTGATAACACTTGGAAAAAATCAAAATACATGTGGTCGCCGCTGCTTCTCCCCATCAATTTAGGCATCGTTTGGGACGGCTTTCTTCCTGCTTCTTAAAGTGGCTTTCTTAATACTAAAAAAAACAGCTTTAAAAAGCAGGAAGAAAGCCGTCCCAAACAAAACCTTAGAAGAGTGGGAATCAAACTTCTAGATTTTGTAGGCTTTCTCAAAACTGATGAAAAGATTGGAGGTACGTGAAGAAGCTATAGCAACCGGATAACAGGCTCGGAATAGATATGCTTGCACAAATTGCGGTGTCATGATAATGGAGATAGAGGTATTCTGATCAGTCCTTGACATCTGTAACACCTTCTGAAGAGATCTGGAATCGTGCTTCAGCTTCAGCTAAGCATGGAGAACTTATCACCTTACAAATGCGTTCTTCTCCCCTTCCCTTGCGAAGAGCAAGTCTGCAACAAAAGCCAAATCCAACAAAAACATATCAAGCTATAGAAGATATTTGTGTCAGGGGTAAGGGTAAGACTTAGAAATATTTTAAAAAAAAAAGTTCTAACCTTGTCGTAGAAGAATGTGCCATTATATTTCCACCAATAGGCTTTATCTGTGGGCCTGCAAAGAGAGCTGATCCATCTACTTGTGCAACAACTTGATTGGTGATGACCACAGCAACGCCAAACTGAATCAAGAATTAAAGTGATAGCAATGAATCAATAGGAGTCTGTAAATTCAAAACTTTAAAATGTATTTTTGACAGTAGTGAATCCTAAAAATTGCTTTACAAGAAGAAGCGCATGCAAAGTTCATTATTCCAGCATTCAACACCAGAGGTTCTGGTTGATGAAAGGATGGAGGAATAAAGAACTGAAGGAAAAAAAAAAAAGTAATAAAACAGAAACAAAAGCACCCCAAGCAAGAAGTAGATTGAAAATGAAATTAATGTTCAAAATCAGTTTAAAGTTAGAATGAAATTAGTTGCATATGAACGGCAAGAGGTTTCATCAAACGAAGATAGCATTTTGGTCTAGACTACCTCATCTGCTATCTTTTGAAGGCTCCTGAGGAACTTTGCCAAGTGCATCTGCCTTGCAGATAATTCTCCCCTTCCGGAGAAATCTGTCCTGTAAAGAGCTGTAGCACTGTCCACTACCATCAGGGCAAACCTACAAAGGAATCGAGTTCCCAGCAGATCATATAAAGCCATCGCAAACCTTTTTTTAAAAGACATTCAAATCATTATAAAGAGAATGGTGCTGATACAAGAGCATTAGTTAAATAAAAACAGTTTTTTTTTGTAGAAGGAATCTCAAAGGCATCGAGGAAACTTAATGATATTAGGTCCATATCTAGGAGGGTTTTACAAAAATGCAATTTAAGGTATGAGTTAGGTCATTGTGCAAATATATTAGGTCCATATCTAGGAGGGTTTTACAAAAATGCAAACCCTTGTGAGCCTTTAGTTGGTCAAACAAAGGCGATAGGGTGGTCAAAAAATAAAAGCGCTACATTATTATAGGTCGAATCCCATATGAAGTGTACACATCAAAATTTATGCAACATTTAAATTACCTATCATCTCTTTTTTTTAATTCAGGGAGGGTAAACACTTTGACATTTTTACTCATTTAACCAACCCTTGATGAAGCTGCATTGAACATTATCTAACTTCTGGTTGGACTTCCTTTTTGAGTGGCAATAACTATGAAGTATCACTTAAATATGCACCTTTTTGCACATACGGGTTATTAATGCATACAACTTTGTTACCTTTATTCCTAGGTTCTTGTAGTCATGGCAAGATACATTACTATGCTCTGGTTCATTCGTTCCTTATCAAGCACTCCAGGGGCATAGCGTTAAGCAGGATTGTTAAACTTGAATTTTGGAGTCCGGTAACTATATTGATTCTTAGTAATATTTGCTAAATGGTTATAAACATTTGCTCTCATGGCTTATTTGGATCAAATTTCTACTTCAAAAGGTTACAAAATTGATTATAAGCTTGTGGATTTTATTTGTTATAAACCAAATTATAGTTGAGCCCATTTGAACGTAGCAGGGAAGCGTCCAAGGGTTGTAAACAGACCTAGCAATTTCTTCATAGAACTACCATTGAGAAAAATATATCTTTGTACAATAAATGAGGTCTCACTTGCCCATCGAAGATCAAAAATACAGAATTTTAACAAAGCCTTAGGAAGTTTAAATAAACATGCCTGGTTTCAACCATCATTGAAGCTGCTTCCAGCAAGAGCCTTGACTGATGATCAGTATTATACGCTCTAGCATAGGCTACATTTTCCAGAACATCAGCACCGTTCAATCCAAACCTGTAAACAAATGATATTTTCATGAATTCAACAAAAAGGGTTTTATTAAAGTGTATAAATTATTTTGGTGCGAATTACTAACACCTGTCAGCAATATCAAGGAGTCTTTGTGGCCTGAATGTGCCCTCTGCATCAATATACATAGCCTTACCTTCACCACCACCTTGATCCAATGGAAGCTAAGATTACATAAAACAACAGGAACACTTTTTAGAAACATACATGGAGCAAATATTTCCGGTAAATATAATCATGATCCAAGTGGTAAAACAATAAGTTCTAAAATGGACAACACAAATAAAATAATTTTACTATATGCTAGACTAGATAGAACAGCACGCATGCATGACAGTAAATAGGATCGAGCGATAATTCAAAAAATTAAGGCTTTGTTTGGGACGACTTTCTTGCTGCTTCTTAAAACAGCTTTCTAGTACAAATATTTTAATTTTTATACTGAAAAGCTGTTTTAAAAAGTAGTGAAAAAACAGTCCCAAATGAAGCCTAAAAAGTTGATTGGCAGTATAGAATGAAAACATGAATTACAAAGTGCCAACTTTATTGAATCATATTTATAGTATTCATCCAAAAAGTGTGGACCGAACCAAAACAATTAGGACAAAAACATCAAAATAACTTGTGCTAGCAATGAAGGAAAAATTTTGTATGAAGATATCTTGATCAAATCTTTGATCGGGGTAGAACTCTTGATACGTCATCATGAAATTATCTTGATCGGGCATGAATCTCGAGGCAAAAACCAACCCGGGAACTTCAAAAATTAAATCTGGAAGCACCTGAACTCCGATTTCAGCGAGCTTATAGTTAAACTGAGCGTCTCAGAAATACGAACCCAACAACACCAAATTCAACTCATTCCGAGCCCAAATGAGCCGAAATCAAGCACCCAAAGTGCCGTTGGAAAGCTCGTACCACAATTTGAGTTACCAAACGGTCTCCGATTTTAACAAGCTTATAGTCGAATCGAGTGGCTTGACGAGACGAATCCAACAAGCCCAAGATCGCCGAATTCCGACATCACTAAGGCCTTCAAATGTTCAACGAACAGTGCACGATCAAAGGATTCAATATTAGCCGTCCATTCGACCACTCTCTATTTGCCACTGATCTCACACCTATTTACAAGCCACGCCACTCCAAAAAAATTATAAATAGAGCCCTCATTCCTCATAAAAGGGGACTCAAGCAAGAAGAAGAGAACGAGGAGAATCAGCTCCTCCTCGACAACCGCCGGAGTTCTGCCCGAACTCTAAATGACGCCAGAATTCTGCCTGACTTCCACGGGACGCTAGAATTCTGCCCAACTTCCACGCGATGCTGAAATTCTTTCCAATTAACGACAGAGTTCTCTCCTGACGCCGAAACTTCGCCTAAGTGATGCCAGAGTTCTCCTCGGCCACCAACGGACGTCGGACTTCTACCCGACATCGGACCTTCACTCTTCGCCAAGTTTCTACCCGACGCCGGACTTCTACCGATTATCGGACTTTCGCTGGACGTATATCCGAAGATGGATTTCTTTCCATTGTTGGACTTCTACGCCATCCTTCTGACCTTCATCGTTAGACACAGTCTTTCCAGCCTCCGTCGCAAGACAACGGTCTTTCTGACCTCCGTCGCCAGCCGACTACGGTCCTCCTGACTTATGTCGTCCGCAGGCTACAGCCTTTCTAACCTCCGTCACCAGACTATGGTCCTCCCAACCAAACGAACACGTCAATAGTGATTCTTTGTATTCTCATAATGTAATGTACTATATAAGATGTACATCAAGATAAGGCATTCTCCCAAGGAAGTGTCTCATTTGTAATCAATTGCAATATTAGTGGATTCATTCAAACTGGGCTAGGCCCCGTGGTTTTTCCCCCTTTTTAGGGGTTTTCCACGTAAAAATATTGGTGTCTCATGTGAATACTGCACACTCTCTCTTACTGATTGCGTGTCGGATTTTCGTACAACGCTAAGACATTAATTTTATATCTCTTTACCGCCACATATATTCTAGCCCGCAACAGTTTGGCGCCGTTTGTGGGAACATGGTTCCCGACTGGGGGGGCAACTTTTGCTCTAATCTCAAAATATCACTCTTATCAACTTTCTGACATCAGTCATTGTTGCATCAGATGTGGACTTGGGGGCAACTTTGACCTCAATTCTGGTCAAATAGATCCTCCGATGCTTTCTATATCAAGATGATATTTCAGGAAAATCCTAGTGATAGCAATGATACTTCCAATCAATTACAAGCTTTATACAGTCCCTTGCTGGACTTCTACTCCTTGGGAAAGGTCTTAATCTCGACCTTAAAAAGATAATAATGGTCTAAAGATAGACCATTCTTTACCTTTGATTCGGGATACACGCGACACTCGCCCCCTCCCAATCAAGGTAAAATCGATCCCAGGAGGATCTGATTCGCCTCTTCCACACAGGTTAACGTCGTCGAGCAAAGTCTCCGACATACAACCTCGGATAGGTCTCACATCCTTGGTGGATTCTCTCGACCTCTTTCACACAGGTTAACGTCATCGAGCAAAGGCTCCGACATACAACCTCTTTTTTGTCTCACATCCTTGGTGGATTCTCTCGACCTCTTCCACACAGGTTAACGTCGTTGAGCAAGACTCCGACATACAATCTCGGATAGGTCTTACATCCTTGGTGGATTCTCTCGACCTCTTCCATACAAGTTAACGTCGACGATCAAAGGCTCCGACATACAATCTCGGATAGGTCACACATTCTTGGTGGATTCTCTCGACCTCTTCCATACAGGTTAAAGTCGTCGAGCAGAGGCTCCGACATACAACCTCGGATAGGTCTCACATCCTTGGTGGATTCTCTCGACCTCTTCCGTATAGGTTAACGTTATCGAGCAGGGCTCTGACATATAATCTCGTATAGGTCTCACGTCATTGGTGGATTCTCTCGACCTCTTTCATAGTGGTCGAGCAGTGCTCTAAGTGAACAACATTATCTCTATAAAGATTCCATGAAAGCGGGTGATTGATAAAATCATCCCTCATATAAAGACCTTAGTAGTCTAAAATACACTCACAAAAATATGGGGGGCAATATATCAAAGCATGCCTTAAAGATGCAATCACAATTCAGAATGCTCCGAAGGACAAGTTCTCAACTCCTTATTCAGTATCAATGGAGTTACATAGATATATATATTCATATATACATTTCTTCTCACTAGAAGTTGAAAGGAAAAAAACACATTGGCATTATTCGTACAAGTTAGAATCATTGAATAACAGACAACTTCAAAACAATCAAATATCCTTAGTGGATTTAGTGACTTCTTCTCTGCTGCACATTTAAGCATCTCATACAACTTCTTCTTCAAAGAAAAGGATATCTGATGTCCGCGCTTTTCAACATGGATACATATTGCCTTAGCAAAATACGACTGTACACTTGCCATCATCGGACATTCGTCTAATATTTGTCGGCAGTCCTTTACTTTAGTCATCATTGGATTGTCGCTCGATTGTTACTTGCAATGCATCTTCGAACTCCCTCCCTCAACTCTCCACTATATCGTTGACTGCTAACGAACTTTAATTTGGTCATCTATCGACGATGAACTTCTTCTCGAACAGCATCGAAATTCTCCCAGTCTACTCGTCACTTCTAGTTCTCCTCCTGGACACTTTTACCGTCAAATCATCCTCGCGTACAAGCAGCAATTGATCCTCTTCTATCAAGGGTTATCTATTAAGAAGATAGCTTCTCATCGTAACTTCTTCTGCACAAATGAGGGGCACTGGAGCTTAATAGGGGAATGCCGCCTATCTCCGAAAGTGAAATGTCTCCAATGCAAGAAGAAAAGCACAAGCGAAGAACAAAGAGGAAAAAATTCTCTTTCTACACAAAAGAGGGGCACTGAAGCTTGATAGAGAAATGCCACCTTTCTCGGACAATGGAATGCCTCTAATGTAAGTAAAAGATTAGAGAAGAAGAAAAGGAACAACTGCAAAAATTCTAACTTCTACACATGGAGAGGGGCCCTGAATTTTAATAGGGAATACCGCCTACAACAAACAGGGGAATGCCTCAACTGCAAGAAAGTTAGAATGAGGGAGAAAGAAAGAAAAGGAGGAGAAAGTCTCCAACTTCTGTACGAGAGGAGGGGCGCTGAGTCGAGTAGGGAAAATCACCTACTCAAAAACAGCGGAAAACCTCGACTGTCAGAAAGCAGAGAGGGAAAAAAAGAAGAAAAGAAGAGATCTCCAACCTCTACACAAGAAGAGAGGCGCTGAAGTGAGTAGAGAAAGTTTCCCACTCAAAAATAGCGGAATGTCTCAACTGTCAGAAAGTCAGAGGGGAGAAGAAAGAAGAAAAGAAGATATCTCCAACTTCTGCGCAAGAAGAGGGGCACTAGATTGAGTAGGGAAAGTTTTCCACTCAAAAACAGCGAAAAGCCTCAACTGTCAGAGAGCCAGAGGGAGAAGAAGAGAATAGGTAATTTTATTAAGGGCCTTAGTGGACTATTTATAGTTTTTTGGAGGAAGAGAGAAATTTCTAGAAGTTACTGAATTTTCAAAAAAAAATCGGAATTTTCTGGAATTTGTTGAATTTTTTTAATTTTTTCAGATTTTTTACAATTTTTGTGGGCCCCACCATTTAAAAAATTTTTAAAATGGCTAACCGCCGGCCAAAACCGCGGCAGTTAGCCGCAGAACCGCGAGGGTCGCGTCTCGGGTGTGGAAGAGGTCGACAGGCGGCGGCCGGCCGGTCGGCCTGCCGATTCGGCCGCCTACTCATGTTCGGGCCCAATTTTCGACTAGGACGGTCCAAATCCGACATTTTTGGGGTCCCCGGACACGTTTTTTGACATTCTGAACTCAATTATGCAACTTTTGGAGCTCAACGAGGCCTCTATGATCATATTTGGGAAAATACTTAATGTTCGGAACACAATTTTTGCATTTCGACCAATACAAATTATCGAAGCATATATTTTTGGACTCCTGAAGCTTCGACGTCCGAAAATAGGGGGGCAACTGATACGTCATCATGATCCCTATTTGCCCCTGATCTCACACATATTTACAAGCCACGCCACTTCAGAAAAACTATAAATAGAGCCCTTATTCCTCATAAGATGGGACTCAAGCAAGAAGAAGAGAAGAAGAAGAGAAGGAGGAGAATCAGCTCCTCCTCGACCACCGCCGGAATTCCGCACGAACTCCAAATGACGCCAGAATTCTGCCCGACTTCCACGGGATGCTAGAATTATGCCCAACTTCCACGGGATGCTGAAATTCTTTCCAATTAACGACAGAGTTCTCTCATGATGCCGAAACTTCGCCTAAGTGATGCCGGAGTTCTCCACGGACACCAACAGACGTCGGACTTCTACCAGACGTCGGACCTTCACTCTTCGCCAAGTTTCTACCCGACGCCGGACTTCTACCGGTTATCGGACTTTCGCTGGACGTATATCAGAAGATGGATTTCTTTCCATTGTTGGACTTCTATGCCATCCTTCTGACCTTCATCGTCAGACACAGTCCTTCCAGCCTCCATCGCAAGACAACGGTCCTTCCGACCTCCGTCGCCAGCCGACTATGGTCCTCCTAACTTATGTCGTCCGCAGGCTACAGCCTTTTTGACCTCCGTCACCAGACTATGGTCCTCCCGACCAAACGAACACGTCAATAGTGATTCTTTGTATTCTCATAATGTAATGTACTCTATAAGATGTACATCAAGATAAGGCCTTCTCCCAAGGAAGGACCTCATTTGTAATCAACTGCAATACTAGTGAATTCATTCAAACTGGGCTAGGCCCCGTGGTTTTTCCCCCTTTTTAGGGGTTTTCCACGTAAAAATATTGGTGTCTCATGTGAATGCTACACACTCTGTCTTATCTGATTGCGTGCCGGATTTTCGTACAACGCTAAGACATTAATTTTATATTTCTCTACCGCCGCATATATTCTAGCCCGCAACAACTCTAAATCATTTAATTTATTTTAAGGAGAGTGCAATATAAATTTAATTAATTTTACATGCATTGCACTTATTCTTAAAGCAAATTTCGAAAAATAAATAAGATTGAAATAAAAAATCGTAGAAATGAACCATTATAATCTGTATCAAGTATTTAAGATGATACCTGACAAGTTACACAAAGAGTATGACATAGCTGAGTCTTTCCACAGCGAAATTCACCATATAACTCGGTGATCGAGCCGGTTTCAATCCCACCTGCACAAATTTTAACCCTATAAAGTAAAAAAGTAAAATATTGCATCTACTAAAAGAAGTAGAGCGGCACATTAAAACTATCTACAAAATGAATATAAACATATCTAAACAGCCCAATTACCATCCAATATCTTATCAAGTTCCTTTGACCCAGATGTGATTTGAATGATTTCAAGCCGCTGAGCATGAAGCTGGCTAGCACTTGTGAATCCTAAAGGAACAAGCTTTGAAGCTGACAGCAAAATTTAAATGCCCAATTTTAAAAAGTAGATCATAAATAATAAGTATAAGAATATTATTATATCTATATCAGATGGAAGCTCACAAGAAAATATGAGCACTGAAAGGTATGGCTTACCTGCTTCAATAATTTTATCAACTTTTGCCTCACTAATTCCTTTAATTTGCAAGAGTTCTTTCCTTGGTGAATATGCAATAGCTTCCACCGTGCAGAGACCAGCATCTCTGAGCTTTTTAATGTCAATTGCAGCTATCCCAGATACCTTGTACAAGAAAATAGTTGAGCTAGAATAAAAAGGCAAGTCAAGCTCTTATTACTCCAGGATAAATGAAGGATGTATGCATGCAATGTTACTCCTACATTCTATAAAGGATGTTTACTTGATTCTGCCAAATTACAATAAAGGTAACTTTAATCATTGCTCTCAGGTTCGACCTTAAAATATCTCATCTATAACAATCATCTCAAATACTATTACAACAACGCAAGTTTGGAAATGAAATATTTTCAGCGAATTTCAATTTCCTATGGCCATCATAACAGGAGCACTTTCCACAACATATTTATGTAAATTAAAAATCTTCAACAGTCAATATACACAGATTGATATCTTTCTTACACGAAGAATCAGCCTTTTCTCAGAATTTTCCCTAGCTCTCAAATCACAAAGAACTTAATGAAACTCTCTTATGCAAAAAAATAAACATTTCTTCTATTTTAAGAATTTGAAAAAGGACTACTGGTAATTACTCGTAACTTAAATACTGTGAACCAATGATGAAACTTGATTGTGCCACATCAGCACCAGTAATCTCTACCTTTGCACAATAGCAACAGTTTTTATAAGCTATAATCTTCCATACGCACAACTCTGATCAAGTTTGTTTAAACTTTAAACTTATCAATAGTAATTATTTTAGTTATTATGTCAGAAGAATTTTCTTCCTTATGAACTTTCAGCAACTAAATTGTGCCACCAGCAATAATCTCTCTAATGAAATGAAACTGTTAGACCGGTCCAGCCGGTCCAGGCGGGACCGGTTCACGGGCGCGAACAGGAGGGATCTCCGCCTCCTGCGGAGATCGGGCGGGCCGACAGCTCAAACAGAGCGTTTTAGGAAGAATTTTTTGGGGGTTTCAGAGAGAAATTTGAATGTAGGGACTGTTTAGGGAATTCCTTTTGATTTGTATGCATTAAATAGTTGATTTTGCTAGGGTTT